AAAGGACCAAAGGATCATACATAGTGATTAATAATTGAAACATACGGTATTCATATTGCGAACAATGAGCGTCACTTAAATTGGCTATTTTCTGGGATCAAAACAAGAAACTTCCGGTACAGAGTACTGAAGTCTTAAGAAACTGAAATAAAACTTTGGTCAGCACCTTGTCCAGGTCTTTTACAGCCCTGAAAATGATGTTATAAAAATTAAGTTTAATCAAGTAATGTAAGGGCACTGTTTATGAGTTGGAATGATATCGTGGTAATGTGGAGGCGCTGTTTATGAGTTATAATGATATCGTGGTAATGTGAGGGCGCTATTTATAAATTAGAATGATATTGCGGTAATGTGAGGGCACTGTTTATGAGTTAGAATGATATTGTGGTAATGTGAGGGCACTGAGTATGAGTATATTGTAATGTGAGGGCGCTATTTGTGATTCTGAATCACAGAAATGAAGTACTTTGAAGATGTATGTATCTCAGCATGAACAAAGTACATGTAACTGTCGAGATCCTTTTATTCAGGAAAATAATGCAATGTCTGACTTGTCTGTTTGCAAATCTTCCCCAAAATCACATTATAATTATCTGTAAACAGATGATTGACACAAAAAATTCAAATTTGTGGTTGTCAGGACATAAAAAACAGCTTCACAAAATGGTAACAGGTTCAATATTTCAGTCACTTTTTCTCAGAATGTCCTGAAGTGAGACACATACGTGTACATCATTTTACCACAATAGGGTTGTATGGTACTGGCCAGTCTCATGTCATTGTACCCCCCTTCCAACTCTCTAAGACACTCCCAGTCTCTCTCCCCCTTGCCTCAGAGTCATCCCGTCCTTAATTTATGTGCAACGAGAATGAAAGGTGGTCATTTTGAAGTTGTGCAATACCTGAGCAGTACACATCACCCAATGCTTTTTGACCCTTCCAGCTAATTGGGCTCTGAAACACTACAAACCAATTGCATTGTCTCACATTCTGTGGTGCTCAGCCAAGCATGAACATGAGCTTCAGTGTACAATAAGTAAAGTCATTGAGGTGCACACCTGGCTGAAATTTTCAAAGACAAATGTCTGATCCTTGATTTTTTTTGAGTAGTGTACATGTATATTGGTATACAGTACAATGCTGCTATAATGAACAGGGAAGGGTCCCTTCACAATGCTTGGTGTAGCATACCTCCCAAACTATTGCAATTTCAATGGTATTGTTACAATCCTCGCATTTTCATAGGCCTAAAAAACAAAATGTTCTGATTTCCATAAAAAAGGGGGAAAAGTTCTGGCAAAGAGGGTGCTATTTGCTAAAATAGAGAGGGTGCCATTTCCTATGTTGAAATGTCAGTTGTTACACATACATGTGCGTGCTCTTGTTCGTGTAAAAGAGATTCTCTTGTGCGGCTGCTTGTTTTGCTATGGGCTCATGACATGGCTGTTCCAATTTCGGAGATTATTGACATCTTAACTTTTGAGTCACTGTCATTAGTCCTCATTTTTTTTTCTTTAATTTAAAACAAAATTTGTGATGTTCAGTAAATGTGTGCAGAAAATGTGGGAGCCAAGAGGCATGTTCCGTATACCACATTGTTCAGTATAGTGACGTTGTACTGTACTTACATCCAAAATATTTATAACTTCAGAGGTACTTTGTAAATTGAATAGACAATTGGTCAGTTTGCTTTTGAAGAAAGACTTTTGTTCGCCTTTAATTTGTTTCTTTTCATTGTAATGCATTGACTCATATTAATGCACTTTTAAAATATTCATGTTTACATATAAGTTATCAAGATGCTATACATGTACTTCAAAATTTGCAAATAATGACCATTTGGAAAGACTCTAGACACTTTGATACTACTTCTTTTGAGGACTAAAAGCTTGCAACTATTGCATGCTTTTAAAAATTCAATGGTGTTCCCATTCAGGCAGCCCAAATACCAGCCCTGTTCAGTCAACCCAGTGGCTGCTCTGAACCTCACTTTTAACAAGTTCGCCCCCGGAACAGAGATATTGACAAATGGGAAGAACCACCGACATAGGGCTGGATAGCTCAGTTGGTAGAGCACCGGTACAGTGTTCCAGAAGTTGCAGGTTGAAATCCTGCTCCAGTCAATTTCTTTTTCCGTCTTCATAATTTTTTCCTTGAACAAAATTCTATGTGCATTTTGTATTTTCCAAGTTGTACATCCCCTTTGCCAGAGCATTAGAAAAAAGTCTTTCACTTAAAATAATCACAAACCTGCAAGTCGCAAATTGCTGGCTCAGTGCCAAAAGGTCATTACTGCAAAATGTAATTTTTGATAACACTTTAAGGGCCTTACTCTGTGCACGAAAGAAATATATGATTTATTTAGTTAGTTTTTAGTCTTGAAACTAGTTTTTGGTGGCCAACATGTTTAAATTTTAACCAATTCTGTTTCTCAAATTAATGTTAAATTCATTCAAATTTAAAAATATCACCTTGCAAAAATGCTTTGTGTCTGTGTGAAACAATCGTCATTTATTGCTATAACCAACTAATTTCTATTTGCAAGTGAAATAAATGCTCATTTAAACTAGCAGAACAACTTGTTTGTACATGTATATCTATTTGTAAAACTGTAGTACTTTGCCTCGTGACCCTTCTCCTAATCTGGACCATGTTACACTGCCAGAGTTTAACGCACATCTGTTTCCATCTTTAGAGTTTACATTGCAGCCCCATCCTAAGCCCTGCCAGTTTTCTTCCAAGCTCCTTATATAAGGTTCCCTCTTCAAGCCTTTCAGTCTCAATCTTATATGGGCTGCAATAAACCCAACAGCAATATGGAACATTAAGAAGCTATGTCCTTCAGCCCCATGGGATCCACAGAGCTCTAATAGTCCCAAGCCCTCAGCCATCCACTCTACCCTTCCTATCAGCTCTCAGACTTCCGGCCCCTAGGACTTCCACCCTTGCACATCTCCAGTACACAGTTTGGCTGAAAAATATTCTAAGTCCAAACAATGGAAGGTTTAACATTTAGAAACGAGCACATTTCATCAAGAAAGTGCCGTGGCATAGTGGTTAAGGACACTAACTGCTATGCACAAGGACCTGGGTTCGATTCCAGGTGGGCATGCACAATTTTGTTAAAAAACTTAGTAAAAAAAAAAAAAAAAAAAAAAAAACCTCCTTTTCCGGGGACCCCGGGATTCGAACCGGGGTCCCCTGGCCTGGCAGCCAGCTAGCTAACCACCAGGCCACAAGCCTCTTAATAGATATAAGTTCGGAACATATATTTAAAGGTTAGGATTGCGCAATCTCAAAAAAGGTCAGAGGGCACAGGCATTTGCATGTATTTAAATAACAAAACCAGACATTTCAATGTTAAAAGACAGAGAATACACAAAATATTAAGACCTTGAATGCATTTCAGTATATTTAGGTCAAACATATTTGCAAACTTTTCTGTATTTACACTTCCAAATGCTCAGTTTTATATCATGTAGGTGTCACTAAAAATTCAACTGTGTTGGTTGAAACCTGAAGACATAACTTGGAGAAAGATTCTGCTAGGATTGAAACATCAAGTCCTCTGAAGTTTTCAAGGTAGAGAATATTTCACAGTTTCGATATCTTGCTATAAACATTTAAATTTGTCAGCTTTTCTGATTTCATCTTTATGTTCTCTTCTCATTAAGCACAAGTATCTAAAAAAGTTACTCACATCCCCATTGCTAATTTCAATCTACTAAGTTTCTTAATTTCTGATGTATTTTCTTAAGCTTATTTATTTTGTCAATTTCTATGTACCAACTTCTCTTAATTAATGTAATTTTTTAAAAAAAGCATGGAATAAACGTTTTCTTGAATTGAATTGAATATGTCAGATTTTGCTGATTTCGTCATGATTTGTACAGCGCAGGCTATGTAATCAGCTTGTCTTATTAGGCCTAACACAGGGAATGAACATTCCATTATGGCTAAGAAGTCCACATGGGAATGCGCGGTAGATTTGACATGAAGGAATGTCTTGGTAAGTTTCCATGTGCCCGCGGAAGATAAAGTCCAATGGGAACACGGCTATGGTGCATCAGACTTTTACATCTGCTGTCGTATGTTGCATCTGGTGGAGTTAGGGTCAAGGTCAGTATTTGCAAAGTGATACAAGCAAATTTTAACTCCTCTGCCAAAGGTTGTAGACTGCTGGCCCTCTTTGATTCCACAACCTGACCGTCTTGCTTGGACCTTCATCAATGTTCCATGAGCAGATATTTTGACAATAAGGGGCTTGATCTGCAAAATTAAAATAATCATAAAAGAGTTAACCAATTCACCATTAATAATAAAAAGAATTCTTTTTACAAGACAAATATTCATTTTCAAATTGTTTTTAAGGAGCTGCAAAAACCCTGTTCAAAGATTCAATAATGTGGCTTTCATCATTAAATTTGGGGGAAAATTATACCCTAAGACAGGTTTACTAT